GTTTAGGGTTTAGGCTTAGGGTTTACCGAAAAGAACCAACTTGCAACAAACTTCCGGCAAAGTTGATGTAGGGACTCTGATCGCTATACGCGCTCTGGCTACGGATGTTGTGGTTCTCGTCTGCTTGGCCACAGACGGTCAGTCATCAGGTGCTGCAGACTAGCTATGTGTTCACGTACAGAAGGCCACGATGTACCGAAAACCTTGGCAGCATGGGTCCATGAGCCCTGTGCATAAAGGAAAGGGCGCTCAAGCTGCGTTCGACATCATCCCCTCACAGTGCATGTTTGTAAGCTCCACACCAAGGCTGACACAAACATCTCTGCGCAACAGCTGACAAAGCTTGCTTGCACGCCTTCACCCACTGTAACCCTGAAACAAAGCCGATGTGGGTGTTGACATAACAGTGTCTTTGCCTTACTGAGCTTCCCGGAAAGAAGCTTCAACAAAGCGGATCGAAAGTGAATCTCAGCAGAACCACCAAGAACGATCAAACGCTTTTTCGCACGGAGTATCACTTTGCTCCAGCAAATCTAGGACTGATGCATGCTCTCCTTGCATAGAAATCCGCCAGGAGACTGGAGCCAACTAGAACTCCACAGGTTGTCGTCATTGGAATGCTCCAGGTGACCCGAACCTCGCTTGAATTGACGGTCCCGCACTCTGCCCTACGCAACTCCGCATCGATAACAAAGCAGAGCCCAGTGGCGGTGAGCGAAGTTACCGTGCCGCTGAACAAGCTCCTTGGGTTCGTGGGTTTGGCACCGCATGGCACTAGCTACTGGCCTGCAATGCTTGCTTCTACTGCCGCATCAATCTCTCAACGGTTGAACGACGACGTCCAAGACGCAAAAGACATTTCGCCTGGAAGAAAGGCGACGAGGCTTCTCTTATACGGTACAGCCTGAGCCAGTAAGCCCCGCTGGCAACATGGACCATTTGCATCGACATGCGCCGAGAAAGGGAGGCTCATTAGAACGCGATGGATATGGATAATATTTCTGCTAATCACATACCCCTGGCTTCTAGGGCGGCCCAGAATTGTGGCTGGGGGCTTCGTCAGCTAAGAAGAAAACTGCCAGCTCAGCGTATGGCGCGAACCCCATTGCCACCTTAAAGCGGTCATACCCCAGGGCCTGTGATACTGGGTATGGGTATGAACCGCACAAGTTTCAGGGATGTAAACCCTAAACCCTAAACCCCTAAAACCTTGAACCCTAAACCCTAAACCCCTAAAACCTTAAACCCTAAACCCTAAACCCCTAAAACCTTAAACCCTAAACCCTAAACCCTAAACCGGACCTAGCCCATTTTTCTTCAAGAGCCCGTGCTTTGAAACCAAGCTACCCCAACTTGGGAGCGAAAATGCTCCGGAGCAGGAAAAGAGGAATGGCAAATGTTGCAGTTTCCATTTTGGGGGTTTAGGGTTTAGGGTTTAGGGTTTACTTACTGGTGGCGCGGCTTGGTTTCCTAGCTAACCAGCACCCGAGCTGCTGAACCAACCCCTTGCGACCAAAGCATCAGAGTGCCGCTGGGTATGGGCGGCCAATAGATGAAGCTCCATTCGGTCCTGGTGAGGTCTAGGAGGCATTTAGTCTATGGCAAGGCGTCCTTTGAAAAGAAGCCAGCCTTGGCGAAGGACGACTGGGAGTCAGCTGCGTCTGCAGAAACCCTGCCTGTCCAGTTTCCACTTTTAGGGTTTAGGGTCTAGAGCTTAGGAAGTGGAACAATCAAGGGGCAGAAATTCTCCGGAAGGCGAATGGCAGGAAGAAGCGACGGGTTGGCTGAATATCTGACCGAAGCAAGACAGAACGGTCCAACGAAACTCGATGAGCCAACGTCCGTTAACGCAAAGACAGAGAAAGTGGGAGGTTGCCACAGCTTGAAAAGACTCAGCACCTTTAAAGTCGACCCTGGAGTTGTCCATGCTCACTCGCCTCCATGAGTGCAACGTAGGGGCACCCCGTCAGCGGGCGGAGCAGGGATCCAAACTGGGCCATGAGCACACGGGAGCTCAAAAGCTCCACCTGAAGGCGGCGTCAATATCTACCCTGGGGTTTAGGTGGCTGGTAAGGAACGAATGCATTGGGTATAGAGATTATTATCATAGGGGTTGGTGCAAGGACGACAATAGGGATCCAATCCCTCCTTACCCTACTAACCACCAATGGATTTATTTAGAATGACTCCGAGAACTCTGTCCCCCTTGAGTCACGGGCTTGCATGTTCGCTTGCGTGAGGCATAGGGCGGCGCAGTCTTCCGCAGAGCCCTGAAGCAAGGCGAAGTGGGAGACAGACAGGGATATGCGGGATCGAGTGAAAAGCTCTTCTGTTTGACTGCGCGTTATCTGCTCTCCAGTTGAGACAATGATGTCTGATGGGCCTGAATGGTGATGCACCTTGCAGCTCCGTCATGAAACGTAACAAGCTTAGGCTCTTCTTCCGAGGAAAAAGCCTACGAGGCCGCAATGCGGGCTAGGGGCGCAGTTGCAGATGCCAGGATCTTCGGACGTTGCGCTTGGCAACAGCGTCGGACACAAACTTAACCTGAGGTGCGCACGCTCTGCAAACCTTGGTCCTGCCTTGCCCGAGAGCTTTGCAGTACTAGTAGGCATGATTACGAATATCCCAAGGCCCTTAAAAACACTAAACCCTCCCGAAACCCTAAACCCTACAGCCCTAAACCCTCAACCCCTCAACCCTAAACCCTCCCCAAACCCTCCCAACCCCTAAACCCTAAACCCTTGCTTACAATCCTTCAGCTTGAGAAACGTGGTGCTCGGATCACCGAGCTGTAGGTCCACCTCGAAGATGACGATGAGCCTGGCAGCTAGGGTTTAGGGTTTAGGGTTTAGGGCTTAGGACTCATATGGTGATCATTACTGTGGTTACTACTATCGTTATGATAAGTATGGCTAGTATAAATGGGACTCTTGCGACCAATACAAACCTTTAAGATTATTATTATTCACAGTATTGCACTCGCAGAGGGCAGTGTGGAGGGTGGTTTCTGCAAGCAATCATGTATCAATACATTCTCCAACTTCTGTAGGTGTTTAGACTCTTGGAAGACGTATGCAAAATCTTGAACCCATTCATGAATAGCGGACACGGCTTGACAGCTTGCAACTATCTTTCAGAAATTGCACTTGGATGTGCATAAACTTTCTCTGGAATTTCATATATGGCTGCTGCAGTGGTAGAAATGGCTTCTGGGATCTCATGAATGGCGACTGGAGTTTCATGAACCGCTTCCAGTCCATGTTGGCCCAAATTAAAGCAAAAAACCTGGAGCCCCCCTTACAGAGGCTGACGAATTCAGCAAAGAGTCACAACCAAACAGGGTTTAGGGTTTAGGGCTTTGGGAAACCACTCCAGTCTGCAAGCTCTCCGGAAGTCTCTGTGCCCTCTCTTAGGGGCTGCCCCAAACCCTAAACCCTAAACCCTCTTCAGAGCTGCACCTAGTTGGCGGCTCTGACGGTGAGATGAAGCCATTGGGGTCCAGGAAGGATGGTGGCTGGACCTGAAAAGAAGCTCTCCGACCTCTTCCCTCCGATAAGAAAGGGGCCTTCATAGTTAGAATAGGGTTTTGGGGTTCCTTTAAGGGGTTCTATCAGGGCTGCTAAAAGGGTTGGGGGGTGTAGGGGCCTTCATAGGGGTTTTGGGGCCCCATATACTAGAATTGTAATAAGGAACCCCCAAAATAGTATTGGTACTTATTCAGGCCCCTACATTATACGTACTGCACCAGAATCGACTGCAAACCAGCACATGCTGGGTCAGCTGCGGCTGGCACCAAGTCCGTCCGGATAGGCTCCTCCGGCAACAAAGGCAAGTGCTGGTCTCAGGAAAGGCAAACTCACCCTGCCACGAAGGTCCCCACAATCAGAATGTTCTGTCCGCCAAACGTAATTGGTAGTATTGCAATCCAACCCCTGAACATTGATGCATTCCCTGCAGTGGCCCTACTAGGGAGCGAGGGGCGGGTGGGGGTGCTCCTCAGTCAATCCCCAAGGTGAGGCCAAGGGCGCGCCGTTCGTACAGATCTCCCTGGCCGAGAAGGTGTACGCCGTGTCCTGGCATACTACAAGTAGCAGCTTGGCCAGGCAAAAGGTTTAGGGTTCAGGGTTGCCTCAGGGTTCAGGGCTTTGGATTAAGGGAACTGAGCACAGCCTGCCAAAGTGTTGAGAAGACTGATAATGATAATAGCACTAGTAGAAACGGCAAGTCTAAAATAACAATCAAATAACAACAATATAGTCGTTCTGGGTTTGCCAATGCAAGGCTCACGGCATGGGAATGCAGGAGTTGCCATTGTGAAAGCAGGCAGAATATCTACGGGAACTGGAAAAGCCACCTTTCAACGCGACCTGCCACCGGGCCCTAGATGTAGGTATTCCTAATCTCAGATCTTAAGCCCAAGAAAACTATGGACCATGCACACCCTAAAACAAAAAAACATAAACCCTGGACCCTGACTTGGCCTGGACCAGGTTAGAAATGGTGCAGCTGGGACCGAGCCGTACGGCAAGGGAGCCGCAGGTAGCCGGCCTCGCAACGAGCTGGCACTTGCTGAAGTCAAGCAAGGGCGTAGGGTTCAATATGCTGCAGCTCTGAGTCGATTGACTTTAGGGTGTAGGGTACATCATACAAGAGTTATTTGTAAAGATGATTCTGACGCTGCTCTCACACGCGATAGCATCAGAATTGAAGATCGGTTTGGCAGAACTCATGAGCTTATCGCCACCGCAGCAAGGGTGGCACCCAGCTTCAGGGCAGCTATCTGGGCCTAAATTGCTGCTCCCCGAAAGGGGGAAATGTATACAAGGACCCCGGACCCATGGTCCCTTTGGAAACAGGGCCCCGTAATCTAAGGATTTGTTGGAAACCCCATCTGTCGTGAGTTCCGCACGCCATCGTCCACGTCGTGGCACCCAGCTCCTTGCGGCCAACTCTATCACGGGCTGAGGACGAGATACAAATCGAGGGCCAATGGGACGGTCCCGGTACATGAGCTCGAACCGGTCAAACACGCAGTCCCCGGGTGACCTCATGACAAAGACAACATGGGGGGCCGAAGTTAAGGCGTGCAAAGCAAAGCAACGAAGAGCCTTCATTTCGAGCTGTATAGTACATATAAATATACATATATATATATATATAGTGTACATATGTATATGTGTGTATATATATATATACATATTTTCTGTATCGCGTACATAATATACATCTATATATATATATAGAGAGAGAGAGAGTATATATGTAGTATGCAGGACCCAGGCTTGACTAAAGCGCTGCGAAGCAGCCGTTCACATTAGCAGCACCTGACAATGCTGAGACTCTGAATCCTCGGCGCGAAGACCTTGCTGTACATTAGATGGTTACTGTCATTAGGATTTAGGGCTTAGGGTTTAGGGTTTAGGGTTTAGGGTTTAGGGTTGAGGGTTTAGGGTTTAGGGTTTCGGGTTTAGGGTTTAGGGTATTAGGGTTTGGGGTTTGGGGGATCACTGTCATTAGGATTCTTCCCATTGGCAAACGGAACCCATGAGCCCCGGACCCGGCGATGAACGCCACGGTGATGCTGGTTTCAGTGCGGCTCGTGTTGCCTTTGAGCAAGGGAACAGTGCCTACGTCCATCATTGTCCAAGAGCCTTCTTCCATTGGAACAACATTGACAAAACGAAGCCCCGAGTCCCGAGTGAGTTTTCGCGGCATCATTCCTCCAACCCACTGTTAGAAGCCCAGCAACGGATCAGCAATGGAGGCGATGCCGGCCGCAAACAACTGCCTGAACGCTGGTAGCGCAGACAAACACCATCTTGACTCTGTTGCTGATCCAGGCGGGTTTCACACTATGATTGAGTGCTACACTTTCCCAGTGCCACGATCTATTCCACGAGTTAGCTGTGCCGCCCAAGTATGGATCTTCCAAGCTAACAATGGGCCTTTGGGGCAACACGCTGAGCCGATGGAGAATTCTCTGGCACATCGCGTCAACCTTACAGCGCCTTGCTCTGCAATACCTGCGAGCACTCTCATCACAGTCACCTCCTGACAACGGCCATTTTCTACAATGTCAACTGCATTGTGGAGTTGGAGGCCTGCATGAACCTCCACAGCTTCAGGCAACAATAGCTCAAACCTGAAACTGGCTGAGGCGGGAGCCAGCGTAAGCCGTGCGGAAGGCTGGTGATGCTGGGAAGGCCATCCAATCACTGCTCGCCGGGGGCGGCATACAGATCCTTTCAAGCTTTGGACTGTCTCTTCCTCCAGGGTTCAGGGGTTTGGGGGTTCAGGGGTTCAGGGGTTTAGGGTTTAGGGGTTTAGGGTTTAGGGGTTTAGGGGTTTAGGGGTTAAGGGGTTTAGGGTTGCTTCAGGGGTTTGGTTGTCGGAGCTGGTGGGAAGCTGCCGTCGTGCAGGCTCCCAACTTTGTCCATGTTGCGTTGCTGGCCAACGTCAAGGACACTACAGGGATCAGTTATTACAGGTTCAGCCGTAGGCATTGGGTGGGAGCGTTTAATCTACACCGCTGCGCCCCGGTCTTGAACTCACGCACAGTTCTGCAAGCAAGCAGCGCTCGTACCCGAGCGTTGTAGGCCGTGTCACATTGAAGGTTTATGGCCTTGGCAGGCGGTGGTCAATTTGAACCATTCGTTTAACAGCGGAGCTCTTAAAGAATGCCATGCATGCTTCCTTCAACACCGCCAGCTTTTGCATATCGCATCCTTCAAACCGAGTCTAGCGAACAGTAGACCGTTTGCAAATCCTTTCGGTCAGCCTTATACAACTGACTCCTTTCCGCAGTCCCCTCTTCAACAGGACATGACTTACAGTACCAAACATGAGCAAAAGCTCCAGTCAACTCCTTTGACAGAAAAAAAGGAGTTCATTCACATCTTCCCTGAACTTGCTGGAACTGTCTTAGGAGTCCCACATCCCGTACTCAGGGCTGCACCGTACAAGTCGTGACCATTGGATCAGTGAGGTCCAAGCACCCCTCCGGCTTGGCCCAGACCTTAACCAGCAACACGCTAGAGGCAACTCCATGCGCCAGGTCTAGACAAAACGGCAGGTGAAACAGTCACCGTGAGGGAGTGCCCAGAGACTCCGATACCCCTTAATTGAGGAATAGACCTTAAATTATAGTAGGATCCCTAATAAGATTCAAGGTACATTCCTTAATTAGGGGGTATTGGAGTCTCTGGGTGATGTCTTCGACCGAGCGTCGCTGTCGCTCTGGATCTGAATTTCAACCAGCCAAGATTGGAAGTTGCAGTCTGAGGTGATGTTAGGGCTGCCCGCTGAGCCCACACCTGCAAGCATCGTCAAAAGCAGCATGTGCCATACCCTAAACCCCTAAACCCCCAA